AATAGGGGAAGATTCTCTGATTAACTCACCGAAAGTCTTCTATAAATCTCACCACTCGGCAAAGACAGAACATTTTACTAGAACACACAGGGCTGCTTCTCCTGTCTTCCTCTCCTTTTCCTCCTCCTTCTTCTTCTTTGAAGTTTAGCAAAGGTTAATCTTAGTAGAGAAGGATAAAATAGGAAGAAATAGAAGGGGAAGAGAAACATCTCTGTTTCACATGCAGGAGATGGGAGTGAAGAAGACTCCAACATTTAGTACTTATTAAAATTTGGCACAGTCTGAGTAGTAGCAGCTGAATTTACCCAACACATGTAACTAAGCACAGAAATCATCTACTTCTAAGGGGCCACTCAGGTTAATGATAGTGTAAAAGTACTCCTCTCACCTCCTTACACCCTGCCTCCTTCGCAGGAAGGTAAGCAACACCATGTTTATGAAACTGTGTTACAGCCATGCTGTGTAATAACATTTCAGTCAAGAATAGGCTGAATATATGATGGTGGGCTCATGTAACGGGTTGGTGACACACTCTGATGTTTGTCCCATGACAGAATTGCTAATGACACATTTTTCATAGTCCATACCTCATTAAGTAATGCGTGACCCCATAACTTCAGGTTCTAGGCCCCGGGGTGGGTTAGATCTGTGTATGCAGCTTAGGCACTGGGGATTCCTCTGCAGAGGTCTCAGACTACAAATCCTCACCCCATTCTACTCCCGTCCTGAGTTCCATACATCAGGCCTGGCCACTCACCCCAACACGCTAATAAACAGACAAGTAATGGTGAAGGGAAGATAAAGGCCATTTATTTCCCAACACAGGCATGTGGTGGGAAGAGAAAAGATAGCATTTCAACCCATCTTCCCCGTAGAGACTTTTGTTTTAGGTTTAAATGGAAGGAAGGACTGGGGGCAAGGGGAAGGGTTTGTAAAATTATTAAACAGTCCCAGCCAGTCAAGGTGTGTTCTGTTGGTAGTCCAGTAGCTCCTTGTCTCAGGATTCATCAGGATTGATCAAGATTGTCTCAGGATTGGTCAGTGGGACCTTGTTACAATAAGAGTGGTGATCTTTGGCTCCTGCCCATTCCTTTCTGATTCCAAGATGGCTGTAAAGTGATACAGGAGAGAATGGCTCAGAGCAAAGGACACAGATACAAAATGGTGGCTGGGATGCTACGGTTTTTTTCCTTGCTTTCAGTTAATTCATGGGTCTAAGTAAAGAGTCAGTGCTTTTCAGCAAAAGCAGCTGAAGTACCTTTTACAAGGGACATACAACTTCACCTTGGGGTGGGAGAGAGGTGAGGAACATGAGGTTGGAAGCTTCAGGATGGTTACAAATATAGTCCAGAAAGCTCCCTGGAAAATCACCAAGAACCAGGCTACCGTTGGGAGGTGTCTGGGAGAAATGTTAACAAGCTGATGGTGCCAACTCTGGCCAAGGAGGCAGTGGGGCTTGTGGGGAGAGCACGTCACTTTGGGGAGGCTGGACTGCTCTCCAGGGCAAGAGGCAGAGGAAAAGCGAAGTAAGCCCATGGGGAGCTGCTGCCGGAGCTGCTTTCTTCCTCTGTGATCTCTTGAGCCTCTGCAGCCCTAAGCGTGTGCATCTCCACCCTCTTTCCTGGTGCAGTTAAGTACCTTCCAAATGCCAATGTCTCAGAGCCAGGACACCAACTCCCAAGTCTTTTAAAAAATCACATTTGCGCTGACTCTGTGGAAAAATGCCATGCTATAATGCTACTTTAAAAAACCAAGATATGAACTGTACGCATGTGATGATGTCAGGATTTTTTTTTTTTTTAGACAGGCTAGCTTAGAACTCCCAGTCTTCCTGCCTCAGCCTCCCAAGTGCTGGGATTCCAGGGGTATGCCACCATGCCTAGCTCAAATTAAAAAAAAAAATCTGCAAAGAAAGACACAGTGGAACTGGCAGATCACCTGCTTAGTAAGTGCAAGGCCCTGAGTTCAAACCTCAGCATTGTCAAAAAAAAAAAAGATAGTAAAAATAAGCTGGTGGGGGCAGGGGGGAGAAATGACCCAAGCCTTGTATGCACATATGAATAACAAAACAATAAAAAAAAATAAGCTGAGTGTTAAAAAATGGTTATCTCTAGGTGAAATATTATGGGATTTAATTTTTTAAGTTTACAATTACTTTTCTTATTTTCTATAATGTCTGAGTGTTTTATAATCAGAAAAAAGATACAAAGAATATAAAACGAATAGACTGGGAGCTGAGCATTACCAAGTATTGAATACTTTCCTCATATGGAAAGAAACGTGAATGGAATTTCTTTGTTTCTATCTAAATAAAGGAGGAAATCTGAAGTAGAGGAGTGATTTTCCCTCAGGATGTGTTTGTATTTGCTAGCGCTGCCTTGGGTATGGCTGGAGGAACATTGTTGCCTAGCAACATGCTCTTATAACAACAGAAGTGGAAACAAGATGCCACATATCCTTCAAAAACCAACTGGGAACTTCATGTGCATGGAGGCTGTCTTGAAGAGAAACTGGGTATTTCTACATGTGCTGAGTCTGCCTCTCCCACTTGCTCTCAGATCGCACTACTCTTGGGTAGGCCACATGAGGTTGTGCACCAGGCAAGTTAAGTGAGCAATATTACAAGTCAGGTTGCAACTGCCGTGCTCCCCATGGGCCAGCAAATGGAGTTCAGTGGAGAAGAAATTTAGCTTGTAAGTCGGGAAAGACTGCATCAATTTTAAAGGCACAAATGGGACCTCATCTAGGGCGTGATCTCATTTGATAAGAACATAGACTATTCTGGCTTCTAGGAGCAGAGAACACAAGTGGACAACAGAGAAACCCCAGAAAGAAGGTCTGCAGGCAGATGGCCAGGCAGGGAGAAGTGGCCTCTGTCACTTTATTTAGTGCTCCCTAGCATGGGCCTCTCAGAGTCAGGCTGCCATGTGCCCAGGTGTAGCTGTCATCATCTGGGAGAGAGGTGGACTCTCTCCCTGAAAATTCAGGGACAACTCTCAGAGAAAAATGGATGGAAAGGCCTAGTACCCTGTATGTACTCCAGGTGCAATACATGATAGACCAGTAGCTCTTCCCAGTGAACCCAAAGCACATGTTGTCCATCTTTCTTGGTGGCAAAGTCCCTGGGAAGGAGATTCTCCTTTAGAATGTCCTAGAATAAGTGTAGAACAAACCTGAACTGAGGAGAAGAGATTGGCATTTCACCCAAGCACTGGGAAGTCCCCTGAATATGGCTGTCCTTGACATTTGCCCTGTCAGCCTGAGGTTTGGATTCTTCTGGAGGCAGCTGATGGTATTTGGTTCTGGGAAACCTGTATCCTTCACTGATGACTCTCTGTCATTAGAAATACTAATGTCACAGAACAGTTATTACCAAAGGCAGCAACATGCAACATGTACCCATCCATGTGTAGATTAATTATGTTAAACTGAAGCCTATGGCATAGCTGCTTCTCCCTGCCTGGGTACCCACCTGCAGACCTTACTGGCATTTCTCTGTTACCCACTTGTGTTTGCTGCTCCCAGAAGTGGTTTACATTCTAATCAAATGAGGAAAGGTGTAGATGTTCTTATCAAATGAGGAAGAAGGGAATCAAGGGCTGCCTCTCAATAACTTGCTGTGGCTCTTCAGCCAGCATCTGACCCTAACTGACCAGCTTTTGCCTAGCTGCAAAGTATGTGTTTGGTCTAAGTTATCTCTGATTGCCCAAAAGACTGTAATTCTGGGACTCAGAAAAGCAAAAAGCAAGGACATGATAGTATGAGTTTCCTCATGGGAAAAGCTAACAAGAAGGTGGTTGAGAACAATTGCTACCATTTATTTGAGCTTGCTTTGCCAGGTCTGCATTGTGAGCTTTGTAGAGGTTATCTTACTATAGCTTCATAACCCTAGGAGATGGGCATTAGTTTCATCTTTTTTTTGTGGTTACTGGGAACTCTGTGCTTTGAGCTTGCTAGGCAGATGCTCTACCACTTGAGCCACACCTTCATCATTACCCTTATTTTTCTGATAAGATATCCAGGAACTTGCCCAAGGATACAAAGTTAATATGTTGGTACTCAACTTGGATTTTTTGCCTCTATAGACCACCATTTTCCTCTGCTTTTTTGAAGCCCAGCGCTCAGAGGCAGTAGGTCTGAAAGAGTTGTGTGCTAAGAACCAAGTGACCTTTTCAAATGTATCCTTATTTATTGATTACCACCATCCTTGCTGTTTTAGGTTTTTCAGTGAACCTCCTTATTTTCTTCCTATTCTGTGCTATTCAGTAAAGTGAATGAGACAATATGGGATTCTTATGATACAAACTTAATTTTCTTCCAGTGTTTGCTTCCCTACTTTTTTTCCCCAAGTCCCCTAAATTATTTCCTCTGTATCTGGGAGTCCAGAAATCGGTTAAAATTTAATTGAAAGTTTCATGATTCGACAGCTGGAATAATGGTCAGGTAACAATGGAGCAACCATATGAACCTCCTGCCCGAGAGCCATGCCTCTCCATTGGTTCTTTGAGCTTGCCCCCGCCTCTAGAAACCCTACCTTCCCAACATTCCCTCCATCCGTTCTCCTCCCATTGCCTTTCAATATTTGCACAAAGTATGTTCACATCTTAAAGGCCTTATGCTCTCATGCACTTCATTTACACATACCTTCCCTTACTGTGGCATGACAACTTCTTCTTTGCCTCTCTTATGCCCAAAGACTCAGGTCAAATGTCCCTGACCTTGTGTTAGCACAAAATGTATGCACACTTATTTGTTCAATTCTCTCTTTTTCATTTAAATGGTCAATCATGCAAGGCAGAGGCCTGGTTTTATTACCTTTGGAATAGCTCTGGATCTGAGCTTACATGTTGTGTCTTAAAGGTTTTGTAATAAGCTATATGGATGCATCAAAATGTAAAAAGTTACCATGTCTTTGACCTAGTTAACTCCATGACAAGGAACTTATCTAGCAGAAATAAATGAACAGGAGAAAGAAAATTTACACAGATAAAAATGCTGGAAAATCTGTATTTGCTAAATATTGGAAAGAAGTTAAGTATTCATCAACAGAGTAATATGAGTAAACTGTGGTAAATAATCTTGAAGGAACATAACTCATTTTCTCATTCAACAAACAAATATACAGACTGCCAAGGAGATGTCAGATACACAGCAATGAATCATACAACATGTCTTCCTCAACGAGGGTGCTATTTGGTAGCATCTTCTAAAATGCTTCTTACAAAACTGCACAGAAATAGAGAGCTGGTGGAGAGGTAATGTTTTAAGAAAAGCTGGTTAAAAACTGTACATTATGATTGCAAGTCTAGATGGGGGAGTGTGAATAAGGTCTGGATAAGCAATTGCGGGCATGAAAATATGTGAGTGTTTAGATCATAGATGGTATTTCCTTTAACATTCATCGTTACAATGGTTTTTCCAGCTCTAAATTTTAAGTGCTCTAAAACTTTACTGGAAAAATGTAAAAACTAAAAAAAAAAAATGTATAAAAAAAGCCATTTACCAAATGTTTACTGAAAAAAAGAAAGTAACTCCCATACTCTGCCTCCTCTAGTGGGGAGATGGACAGGGTTTTTCCAGATGGACAGAGGCTGGCCTTGAGGTGATTGGGAGGGAATATTCAAGGCAGCATGGAGGGCCGAATCAGGGAAGGCTATGGATCTATAAATCTATAGATCTAGGTGTTTGTTGAATACCCTGTAGGAACTAGCTTTCTCTGGGCCTAGGTTCTTCCTGCAGCAGAGCCTGCATGTTCCTCCCCCTCTGTTAGCACCACCTCTTGGAAGAGGTGCAACAGTGCCAGGTGGTGGGGAAAGCTAAAGTCTGAGAACCAGACAAGAGGGGTGGGACCTGCTAGGGTTGGTGGCGGGTTCCTTCTATAGTTAAGGGAACTGAAGCTTTTTTGGCCACAATTTACCCAGTGCACAAGTTGGGATTAGAATCCATTCCTTTATTTTTGGGCAGGGTTCTTTCTGTATTTCTCCATCCTTCTCCCCAAGCTTGGGAATAGATAGAGGGAAATGTGTGAGGTCATATTGAAGAGACTTGGCTGACAGGGTAGGCAATGGGGAATCTGTTGATTGCACTACATGGTGGAGGATCTCAGAGGCCAAGCATTTGAGTTTGGACTTGATACACTAGATAAGGGAGAATTCTTGTAGGTTTGGGCACACAATAGAGGGAGGCTTAATGAAGAAGAGACTGGCAGAGGGTGCTGGCTGGTATGACAGGGGTGAGTTTGGATCAAGACATGGTAAAAAAGTTGTACCATCTGGTTCTGTCTGATCAGAACAACACCCACCCCTCCAGTCTCTAGGAAATATGTCTTCTTCAGCCTCTAACCATCAGATTGGAATGGAGGATGCCATCTTAGAAATGCCTTCCCCATGGACATCATTACCTGGTCCAGGCATGGGAACCTAATACAAACTTGGCCCACCAGAATGAATGGAATTTTGACCTCGGGATCAGAGAAGAATGAGCTTACCCCTCTGGTGATACAGTTGTGGTATGTAGGACTGGAGATCTGTCACTGCTGAAAGAGTTGAAGGACAAAGAGAGTAAATTCTAGCTAGATTCAAGCCTTGGTTTCCATTCACTATGAGGGCTCATGGGTGCCTCCCCCTCCCCACCCATGTCACAATGTAAGCAATACTTATCACTCCTTTTATAATTAAGCTAGACTGTATTGAATTTTTGTCATTTGTAAACAAAGTGTCCTGACATTTGTAGTAGGAGATGTGTAGCTTTTGTCATTAAATTTTTAGCACAATTCTCAAAAATGCTTTAAGGTTATCATGTGAACTTTGGGTCCATATTTCTTGCACGTAAGAAACAACAGACAAAAGCATCCTTATTACTTGGTGTCAGATTCAGGAACTTTGGGTTTTCTGCAGAGACAAGGCTTCGGGATCTTTCAGAGAAGAAGGGACACATCACCCTCACTTGTATCGTGAGTGAAGTAGCTGCTTAGAATGCTTCCTTGCCTGCTCCTTTGTGACTCAGATGGGGACAAGCCGACGTGGACCGAACGACCACACAGGACAGCCAGACATTTCTGGTACAGGTGGCAAAGGTACCGTCTGAATTTCTCACCAGCAAACGCATAGATAAAGGGATTGAGGCAACAGTGGCTAAATGCCACCGTCTCGGTCACACTGAGGGCCAACCTCAGATCCCTCTTCACATCACAACTGGGAAAGAAGTTGTAGAATTTGAGAGTCTCCAGGAGAATTATCACATTGTACGGTGTCCAGAAGAGGAAAAACACGATGACCACCAGTAAGATGAGTTTCATGGCCTTAGCTTTCTTGCTGTTCTTGCAAGAAAACAGGGTCTGGATGATTCTGAAATAGCAAAAACCCATGATGAGCAGGGGTAGCAAGAAGCCAAGAAAATTTGCTTCCACGTTGCGGAGCACAGGCCAGATTTCCTGAAGGACTTCAGGGTAGTCACCCAGACACTCATTCTCTTTTTGCTTTGTGAACATGAACTGGGGTGCCGCCACCAGGATGGCTGCTGCCCAGACACCAAGGCTGATGGTGACGCCATGTTGCACAGTCCGGTTGTTCATGGAGTTGGCAGCCAGGACAATGGCCAGGTACCTATCAATGCTGATGACAGTGATGAAGAATATTCCTCCAAAAAAGCCGATGAAGAATAAGGCAGTAGTGAGCTTGCACACAGCGTTGTGGAAGCCTTGTTCGCTGATTAGATAGTGAGTCCAGAAGGGCAAAGTGGCTACGAAGAGCAGATCACTCAAGGCCAGGTTCAGGAGGTAAATGTCGGTGATGCTTTTGGGTTTCCGGCTATTGGTGAGGGCAAACAACACCAACAGATTTCCTACCAAGCCAAAGGCAAAGACAAGGGAGTAGAATATGGACAGGAAGATGGTCCCAAAGGCCACGATGTCCCCCACATAACAGGCTTCTGCAGATTCATCATACTCAAAGTTTTCTAGATCTAATTCAGCAGACAAGGTGGGCATGATGAGGGCCTGAATCAGAGGGAAGACAAGTGGCAGCGTTAGTCCTCAGGGGAACAAATGTAGAATTCTGTCTGGCCCCATATGGAGGTGGGCAGGAAGAAGTAAGCACCAGCTGGATGCCTCTTACATTTCCCACCTTCAGATGTACCATCGTGTTGATTCCCACTGCAGTCTTGTGGTGGAGGCTGCAGCAGGTACATTTGGCAGGAGAGACTGGGAGATTAAAAAAAAGTTCCCAAGAAGACATGTCCAAAACCAGCCATAAATGTTCAACAAGCATTTGGGTCTAGAACTTTTGGAGCCTGAGGCAAATCTGTCTTTGATTTTTCAGAAATCTCTCCAAAAGGCATCTAGCATGACCAGTATGTGGATGGAGGAGGGTGAAGCATGGGAAGAGGGGAGGGATAGGACTGGGTGGGATGACTGGAGTCCTTCCAGTCTAAACTGCCCCATAATAATTCTCCATCCTCTTCCTCCTTCTAGTATGTCTACCTCTCCTCCCTTGAGCCTCTCATTTCTCTTCCATGACGCTAGGCCCGGAGAGTGAGATCTCAGATCCTCTCCTGAAACTCTGAGCAGACCAACTCCCAGAAGCCCTCAGCTTGCTTTCAAGAGACTTTTCCTCCTCCTCCTCTTCTTGGAGCCAAAGTCTTGCTCTTTCTCACCAGGGACCAGACAGAGTTATGCACTTACTTGTTTCATGTTGCCCAGGACTTTCCTAGCTTAGCACTGAGAGTCCCACCCATGGGAAACCCTATAGTCCCAAGGAAACTGGGATGGTTGGCCATCCTACAACCCTAAGTGAAGAAGTGGCACTGTTGTGATTTGGGGATCTGCAGTCACAGAAGGACTGATTGATCCAAGATGGAGGGCAGGCGCTCAGTTAGCCTGCTGGGCCTGGCCCAAGAGGCCAATTCACCTGGACATTACTAGCCCCACCCTTCCCCACTATTCTCATCTCCTGTTTCCTTCTAAGCAAGATTGGAAAAGAGGACATTTGTGTACAGGTAGGACAAGAAAACTTGTCCCATCTCTACTTTCATCCCAGCTGATGAGGCAGTTCTCCCTTCCATTTTATTCCTCTGAGACCCCCCCTCTTCTTCCTGGGAGATTCCACACAGCACCCCCCCAAAAACAAAAACAAGACACTGAGTGCCTCCTGGCTATCATTGCTTCCTTCCTTCTCAAAACTGAAAGCAAAGCTCATGGTTCTTTAACCAAGGGAGTTTCCACACCCTGCTGTACCCTGGTCATGATGGTTGTACCCTGACAGTGTGTCTGCTGAGGTGAGGGTCCACCCAGCCAAGCATTGCTTCTTCCTGCCCTGACTCTGTGTGTCCTGCATCTCACCCAGCCTCTTCCATGAAGAAGTGGGCCAAGGCTATCCACCCTGGGCCATCTCAGGCTGTCATGGAGTTCTCAAGCCCAGGAAAAGTGTGTGCCTTCTTTGCTTCAGCTGCAAGGCCCCTTTCTCAAAGCACAACCTCTGGCTGAAGCCATCATCAATAACATTAAGTTGATAAGTGTAAAATTGCTGACATATGGCTGTTTTTGAGTTCTGCAAATGTCAGTTTCATGATGAGCTGACAGATCGCTACTTAGTACCTGTGGCTGACTGCAGAGCATATTCTTTCCAGACATGCCGCTGTATGAGAACAAAATTAGTCCAGTCCTTGGAGGTCTAAGTTAGGAACCCTGGGCCAGCCATAGTCTCCCTGTCAATAGCAGACAAAGCTGACATCAAGAGGGGTCAAAGCCAAGTAAAAAGTGTTCCGCACCTCTTTGTGTCTGTGTTCTGTCTTTCAGCCCAACAACTTCCGTGGGCCTGGTTTCTCTGAGATTAATCCCTGTGTCTGTCCTCTCTGGCTGAGGGGTGGGGAGTTTGGAGTCTCTAGAACCTATGTTGGGATTCAGTCTCATGCCTGCCCACAGGGCTGTGCTAAGGGGACACACATAGTAGACATTTAATAAATGAGTGTGTTAGATAAGGAAGCAGAAGCCCTTTGTGTGTTTGGACTCAGCCTGTGGACTTTCGTGTTTCAGCCCACCCTGGGCATTGTGGAAATTTGGTATTTAAAAGTTGTTCTATTTTCCCCCCCTGAAATAAGAAATACTTTTTTTTTTTCAGGATATTTTGGAGGGGAGAGGGAGTAAGCCACCCTTTATTAAGCTTTTGCTAAGCTGCTAGGCTATTGGTAGGCATTCCACATGCATTATTATCGACTTAATCCTCCCTGCCATTCTGAAAGGGAAGCCCTGTATTTAACTCACTACAGCTGAGTAGTTCTAGGATCTCTGGGAGGAGAGGAATAGGAAGGCCAGCTTGGGCATAGAGACAGTAGGAATAGTTAGTAATTAGCAACCAATTGCCTGGTCCAGGGGCAAGGGTATCCCAAATTCAGTCCCTTACCTTGCTGGGTGCCTGGGCTCAGGGCTGCCACACATACAGGGACATCTTCTCCAATTTGCACCAAGACTCCAAATAAGGCAGAGGTGGTTCTGGTTAAAGAGGCTCAACATTCACAGAGCAAATGTGAATGAAATGGCCATGGCAATGGGGCTCAGCATGGTGGACTCTCAGCCCAGTCTAGTTCAGTCTTAACCACGAAAGGGCTTGTCACCTCAATGGGGAAAATTCATATGGACAAAGACCTGTTTGGTTCATTTGTGTTTTGAGATAGAGTTTCCCTAGGTAGCCCAGGATGGCCTAGAATTCATGATCCTCCTGCCTCAGCCTCCTGAGATCTGGGATTACAGCATGCTCTACCACACTCAACTAGGACAGAGACTTTGATTAAGAAAGAATGGGGGATATGGGTCAGTGTATCCTCTGCAGATGGGATGCGATTTCAGGCAATATTGCAGCAGGATAATCTTTCCTGACTGCTGATCATAACTTACTGAGATCCAAATGGCTACTCCTAGGGTATAAGTGTGGCTTGGGACAACCCCTGTCATCCAGAGGGCCTGTTCCGTGATGATATGACAGCACTTAGCTGCCTCTGTGCTGGCTCCCTGGTGGCTCAGTCCCCAGAAAAGACTGTGAATTGTCCCAGTTCCCACAGTAGTCCCACTGAGTGCTGGTACAGTGTTATACACCTAGAAGGCACTCACCTTGCCTGTCGTGATCCCTGTTAAGGGCCATTATGCGCCTTGCTGCAGAGGGAGGAAGGGGAGGCGCATCACTTTCAACAGAGCCTGGATGTGACTGAGGATCTGCAATGGTCACCGAGAGACCTTACTGCTCCTCAAGTCTGTGTTCCCATGTTACACACACTGTGCCTCCTGAGTGGCACAGCAAGGTTACACATGGCTCACTGTCCGCTGAAAGAGGGGCAGCAGGCCCAGACTCTTCCCACTGTCTGCTCCCTCCCCAAACATGAGAAAATCAAGGGAGAAGAGACAGGGAGGGATGCAGTGACTATCAGAGAAGAGGCCAAAACCTAGATGTAGAAAGCCATCCAAGCAACTGTCTAGGCTTCCCCTCTAAAAAGCAGCCTCATAGGCTTGTTGGGAGCCTAACAGTGAAATCTCATTGGGATTTACACTGGATGAATGCTCACACTCGTGCTCAAGGAAGCGTGTACACAGTCACTGCACCGGCAGGGGATAGGACCAGCAGGAAATCACCCCATGCCCACCATCTGGGACAGTTCACGCTAAACTATGGTAAATCTCAATGTTGGAATGCCTCTGCTTAATGATAAAAACAAAACCAGGCAGATCTCTCTGTTTTGCCTTGAAATAATCTCCACAATATTCTGGTGAGTGAGGGCCCATGGATATAAAATCCTGCTGCTTGTGGAGATGAATGGTGTGAATGTGTGTGTGTGTGTGTGTGTGTGTGTGTGTGTGTGTGTGTGGTCTGAGTGTTTCTGAAGGGACAGGCTAGCAATTACGTGGGAGGCCACAGGATATGGGCAAGATTTAGTCTTCACTGCAAACACTTGGAAATTTTTTTTTACTATGTACACATATTTCCAATCTGGAAAAGATTTTAATCTACTTGATTTGGAATTCTACAAATAAAAATATATAATATGAATTATATGAAAAACTAAAATAAGTAAGTAACCTAGTATAATAAAAAGCACATCATACATGCTCAATAAGTATACTTGACACGTGAAAGGATTATCTCTACTTTATGGGCAAGTACATGCACTCAGAGAGGGTGAGTAACTTGCTCAAGGTCACACAGCTTGTTTATGGCAGGGCTGCAATTGAGCCCAAATGTGTTCCACCCCAGCATTTTTTAAAACTTTGCATTGCAGCCCACCCTGCCCACCCCCTTCTCCAAGACTGGGAGGTCCTAGAAGAATAAGTATCCCCTCTCCACCGCTATAGGCCTATATTCAATAGGGGGCGAGGTCTGGCACAGGACAAGTACAAGGCAGATGCAGAAGGATGAACACTGCATCCCAGACCCTCAATCCATGAGGTTCTGGAGGCAAAGTGACAATGGCACCTACTAATGGCCTTGTTCTCTGGAGAGCTCATGAAAGACACCTGGGTCTTCTGTGATCATGGCCAGGGGCTCTAGGTGCTTGGTGTGTTGAATGAAGGAATGAGTGAGTGAGGACTGAAAGGCCTAGAGGAACAAGAAAAGCCTCATGCGTGGAGCCCCAGGAGAGAAGCAGCAGCTGCCTGGCACCATAGTCACACAACAGCGTGGGAAACATCTACTCACTCAGCATGTGACTCTCACGTGTGGCCTTGGACCTTTCTGATCATGAAAGAGATGCCTGTGCCAGCAATTCCAGCTAAGACGTCTTCTAGGCAAATACTGAGACACAGCGTTGCCTCTCCTGCACGAGTGACGCAGGGTTTACCTGCTTGGAAAGCAGCTTGTAGGCTGTGTGCTCAATCCGGTTCAAACTCAGCCTCAGTAGACAAGCCCAGATCCTGTGAGGGCGCCATGCACATCAAAACCCTGACGTCAGAAGGATAACCTCTTTCACTGAATGACTCCACTGAACCTGATAACCTTAGCATGGGACCTTTTTAGG